TGGAATCATTTCAGATTTAAGGAACTTTCAGGAGTTTGAATTCTGAATATGACTGAACTTTTCTTTTAAATTTGTCAGATTCAAGTGATTTCTTTGACCATTGTGGGTTTTTCTTTCATCAAACAAGAGAAACCAAAAACTTTGACCATTATCTAATCAAACAGAGGAAATTCTTTTTTGTTAAAGAAATAATCTCAAAATATTTTTTGGGGGAAATTTTTATTGATATCAGAAAAAGAAAGATCCAAATTACCCGTGGATCTGTAGCACAGTTTAAAATAAAAAAAAAAACAAAGAATAATAAATGGTATCAAATTTAACATAAAAACAGAAACAGAATAGAATATGAAAAAATACAAAACATTGAAAGTTAAATGTTAAAAAAAACTCCTCAAGCTTAAAAGGCTTAAAAGGGAGAAAAAAATGGTTACAATTTTTAAAACAATAAGTATTTAATCAAAAGTGAAATCCAAAGGTATCGGTTAGCATGCATGGGTAGAAAATAAAAAAAGAAATATACAAATCTCAAATCTTACTACCTGAAAAAGTTTAAAAGTATAAAACATAAACTAGAAGCTAATACGCTCTAAACTCTCGTAGGATAAGATAACAGGTTGTTCATGGATCGATGCGTTCACATGATCGGACAGCTCTCCATCCTGGATCCAGTCTGGAAGGAAAGGGTTAACAAAGTCAGAACGGGCCCCTCAAAGGCCCCTAGGGCCTCATTTATACCGAGGAGCCGCCATACAGGTGGAAAATCCAGCAGAGCTGAAACTGCAGGGAATCAGAAAGATGACCAGCGGTTGAAGTCTGGCTTCAGCACAAGGGCGGAGCTAAATGGGGGGCCACGGGTGGCCATGGCCACCCTTAGCCAATCATTCACCACCCCCTCTAATACAGACGGTGGAAGCAGTAATACTTTCAAGAGACATATTTAAAACATTTAAAATTTTCATATATTAACAATTACTTGACAAGAAAAACGCTTTGGTTAGTTATGCTATACTAACATTAAAGATGATAAGTACAGAATGAATTCTGTTTTTAGAGCTAGATTTTGTGTTATTTGGGGTAAAGAGAAAATTATGCGTCTCTGCAAGTCATCTAGGAGTCTTCAGTGAATTCATAGATAAATAACTATTTTAATAAAAACATATTAAATAATTAACTTATGTCGATATTAGTAGTTGTAAATATAACATTTATGCAGAATGATTATTGATAAAAGTAGGTAAGTAATTATGATGGAAAAGATGTTCACCCCAGAACGCTAACCTGAAAGAATTTTATCCACTATACCAGAGGTTACGGATTAGCGGACCGCGGTCCGGATCCGGATCCACCTGCTGGCCAATCCGGACCCAACCTGATTTCAAACATTTATAAATTACCCCATGTTGTCTGATGACAGAGTCTAATTTCAGTTGCGCCGCTTCTCCTGTTAATACGGTAAAGCCCTTCGGAGCGATGTTTGGCTCAACCTGCTGCTGTGAAGCAGGATTCTCCACCATGAACAGAATCAACAATAAATCTG